ATTTCAGATCTGTTGTGAAACTTGTAAGATTTGTGTTGGACAACAATAATAATAAAAAAGACTAACTCAGGAGCAGATCTCTTCCCCTCCATGCTTTACCCTGTAATTACCAGCATATTCTCTGTTAACCGAGCCTTGTAGGTGTAGATATTCTACAAGCACTAATAAACAAACTAGACATCTCTACTTAGGCATTTGCATGCTAAAAGAGAGTCAAGAAAGTCACCAGGTTTATTGCCTGTTGTTGGGGACCTCACTGTGCCCTAGAAGACCTTTCTAGGCTGCATGGTGCGCTTCTTTTGTTTACGTTGGACACATTCCACATAGAAACCAAGGTACCGAAAGCTCCACTATAACTTACTTGGACCCTATTGTGACTTTATCACTCTCTGTGATCTTTATCATCTCAGAAATGTGGACATAAGGGTCAGTGGATGTCCATCCAATTGGTCACACTTTTATAACAAGCAGAATTCCTAAATACTGAACCTAGTTAGTACTTTTCAGTTATAATGCTAGGTACAGTGACATACCTACAGTCATTACTGTTAGATATATTGTGCCCAAGCGGGAGGCCATTCCAACTTCAGGTTCTCTGGTACCCTAGCCCTTTAGGTGGTTCCCACCTTCCCTGCTTGAGCTACAACACTCATAACCTGCAACCATGATCATTTAAACAATGCAGCCTACATTTAGAAATGGATCCACATTCTGTCATGCATAACATGTAGGCCACTGCACCCCAGAAAACCTGAGCAAGATGCCATAGAGTCTATTCTAGCTTTTTGATTTTAAACATTCTAGTGTATTCTGGTGTGAAATGAATCTTAGCAAGCATTTGGTTTATCTAGGTGAATTAATTTCTGCCATTTTGACTCTATGGCATGTCTCTACGTCTTTGCTAAAGGGCACTATAGGAGTAATTATGCAGAGTGTCCTCATGATGCGTAATTGCTGCCATAATTTCTTGCCTAAAGCCTTTTACAGAACAAATACTAAGCTGCTGTAAATAGTAACCATTTACTGACTGAAGCGCGGCTTCACTATCGTAGCTCTAGATTCTCATTTAGCTTTTAAACCCAATATCAAACTAAGGGCTTTTCACAACAAATGACTTAATGTTTGAGTTGAGGGTTCATTTCTGTTTTTTTTGTTATCTGTTCCTTGGCTGCAATTTAAAGGCGGCATTATGCATGCTTTGTGTACTGCAGTGCAGCACAGATTTGATGGCAATGTGTATTAATACAAGTACTAGTAAATTATCCTAAATGCTTCATTTATTTATATTTACATCCTTTTCCTGCAAGTGCACCAACACACTGCTTTATAAAAACTCACCTAAGTGCAAACTTCTTAAGAACGGTAGAAACAGAAATTTCACCGCCTGTTATTTATTTGATTAATATAAGTCCTTGTGGGGAACCATGAGTGCTTGTTTCCTGGCTGGAAACCAAGGATCAGTTATGTACGGGGATATAACAGAGAGAGGGGAAAGAGTTGAAGGTTAGCACACCCCTCTGTTGATATAGATTATTTTGTATCTGCTGCACGTGAGCACAGCTGTCAGCAGGCTTAGTGTGCGGCTCGTGCATTGTGTTTGGCGTTCTGTGGCTTCCCACGGTCCTGTTGGGAGCAGAAAATCTAAGCCCAGGGATTAATACCTGGGTGTTCATGGCAACTGTGACGCAGGAACGCCCCCCCCCTGCGAGAGAAACAGGAAGTCATTTATATGACGGTAAACACAGGAGGGCTGAAAAGACTGATCTAGGAAAATAACGACAAATGTCATGCTCCTTATCCTGAATGATTTATTTAACCCCCCACCACCATCACACGCACGCTCGCACACATTACCGTTACATCCTTACAGCAGCATGAGCTGAGCATTGATCGGATCAATACCCATGAGTCAACAATTTCCTTTCTACTAGCTAAGCTTGCTGTATTTTAAGTTTCTATGTTCTGTGTCAGAAACAATCTCAAGTTCCTAATTTTATCTCCACATGTTTAAGCAGTGATTACGAATTACATGTCCCACTTAATGGACCAAAAAGCGTGGAAAGATTGGCATAAAAACGCAGGAAAGGAAAATGAGCAGGAGAGAGGGAATGACAGGGCGACCCCAGTCGATATTTCTTCTTAAAGCTCACATGAACAGCTGATGCACCCTGCACTTAATTCAATTACACACATTCCCTGTGGACGTCTCTTTGTTTATGGCAGTTCTCCATCTCAATCTAGGAGCTCTGAAAAGATAACCTGGCACAAGAACTGGAAGTAAATTCAATGAAATTTTGTAGACAAAGGCCCAGATCTTGTAAGATCCCAAATAAGAAGGTAAAAATTGCTTGAGCAAACAAAAGATTGCATGTTCAATTAGCCGGCGTACTGTGAGGGATCTACAAAGAGGTGCTCAAGTGATAACAGGTGCAAAACCGACAACGATCATCCTATTTAAGTAAGGATTTATTGTGTGTTACGTCACTATGGAAACTTAGGGGCATCTGATTGGACGGTTTTTATGCGTCCCGGAGGCAATTTGCAGTAGCAATGCACACTACATCCTAACAGACCCCTTCCAGCTTGACTAAAATTCACTGCAAGATATCCTCTTGGGGAATCTAAAGATTAACCTTTTTTTTAGCCCCAATTACAAGCAATCTGACTGGAGAATTTAAGAAGGTGTTTTCAGACCTGGACATTGTTTCAAATGCACTCACACAAAGTGGTTGGCATAAGGAAGAAGGAATATTGATTCATCCATACACTGCCTTCATCTTATTTGATGATGGGCAACAGATTAGTAGGTGCTCCATATTGGCAACAAGTCTAGTAGGGAACCCCGGAATCCCTCCCCTAGCTATTTCTAGGGAATTTCTTGGCCAATATATATACAGACCTTCCTGAAAGTTTCGGGTGTCTTATTTTGATGAGAAGAAGCAGATATTTCGGGGTTACCCCAGATGATGGAGCTCCTTGCTCCATCTCTAAGGGCAGAGCAATCTCAGTCTATCCAGTTGTTGAACGTAGACGGTCCAGTGAAACAAGAACTTTGCTATTTGGCTTAGCTCTTTCTTCATCACTGTAGACCAGTACAACACCAACATTACCACAGACAAAGGCCCAGTCCATCTGTCTCGCATCCAGATTTCCATAGTCTTAAACTTCCGTAAGTTTAAGCAAATCAAGGGGTTGGTCCACATCTTCAGATCAGGAAATGTGGCTTTAGTCTAAATTAACTGACTCTCCTAGCTACTTGACGCACAGCAGCAGATCCCTCCAGTGCATGTTGGCAAAAGTAACCGAACAGAAGCTTCTCAGCACTGGCATAAAGTGTATCTGTGCAGCTTGGTATGCAGCAAAGTTCAAATGAAAATGTGCTTCTTTTGGTGGTGCATGATTACTCCACAGACTTTTTTTCCTTTTGCTTCAGTAATTAAGAGGAATTTGCCTCCAATCATGCAGGGAAAATTCCTCAGTAGAACACACATCATGAGCTTTTATAAAGTAATGTCTTTTTAGTGAGGCTGTGTTTTTTTTTTCCAGATGTCTCATATAATCATTTATCACACAAGTTAGAGTTTTGCCATAAATGACCAAAGATTAATTTAAATATGAATGTAAAATAAACTTTGCTTCATGGTTTAATCAAGCTAATATCTGAAAGGGAAAGGACAGTTTTCCACTCTACTATTAAGACATGTGGTTTCTGCAGAGTAACGCAAAACATGCCAAGCACCAAGTCTGCTGACTTGGTCGAGTCCATCAGTGTTCCTTCAGATAAATTTATTGTGTCTAAAAACCAAACACATCCAGATAGAATTCGGCTGAAATAATTTTCTGATACTGATGCAAATTTATTGCAGGAAGTGTTAGTTCCTGTTGGGCCGGGAAGGCCTTATGATCCGTCTGAATTAGGTGAAATTGTCCCTTCAGAGAGAGAAGCCAAGGTTTCCTCTGCTAGAGCTAAACTTTTTATCCATACAACCATCTTTTTATCTCTACACCCATCTAACAATTCATGCACGTGTTTTTTTTTTCTCTTGCACAGTTGTTTTGCTTCTCATTTCTTTTTTTGCAAAAATGCTGCTTCTGTAAGCATTGAGTGACTCATTTCACATGGTGTTTCTATGGCAGTGGTAATACATTATATAACTTCATCTAAGCTATTTAAATAAAAAATAAACAATCATTTAATTAATAATTTATTTTTATTTTTTTTACTGAATTAATTTTAGTTGGATTTGGCAGCTTGAATAATGGACCCTAATATTACTGCTTTTATTTTTTGTTTGTTTTGTTTAGTAATGGGGATATATGAATATTAATCTCATTTAAAATCATATCTTCATCTGATTATACTAAGGTCATTCATGGTTGGCAATAACTTGTGCAATGTATAATGTGCAATTACTATATGATAGCCTGTGCATTAACCTGTTTCTCTATATTTGACACCCAGTGCAATAACTATATATATAAATATCCATCTATATAATTAACCATGTAAACAGCCTGTGCAATATCCCTGTCTTCTTCTTCTCTTTTGACTATTTGAGCTGATATATCCAGTACATTTCTCCAATGTGAGATCAATAAAGTCAATCAATCAATCAGTTTTGTATATAAATTAAGTGATCTCTAAATAGTGAATTCTAGTTGTAAGGGGGACTTGTGGGCCTGGAGTTTGATTGGCTGCCTGCCAGTTGGAAGGTTAGGGGTTGGATTTTTTTACTTCCTCATCTTTTCTGACTGTCCTTGGGCAAGACACACCTTGGATGCAATGATCAGCCTGTTATTAATGCTGAGTATGCAGGAAAATCTACATAGAGCAAGAGGGGCGGTATCTGTCAGTATGGCCAGATAAGCTGTGAATAAATTCATTAGTATTTATTATCATGGGGAGGAAAGGGTTAAGAGTTCAAGTGACACATGTAGGTTTTTTTTGTTCTTTGAAATGTTATTTAATTGAATGTTTTAAATATTTGTCTCTTTTTCAGCTGTTTCGAGAGGTACGCATCATGAAAACTCTGAACCATCCCAACATAGGTGGGTTCCTCTACCAACGCTGATCGTGTGAGTTCCCGTCCGTTTCCATGGTGACATTCCTTTTAACCTCTCATCTTCTGTTTTACAGTCCAGCTTTTTGAGGTGATTGAGACGGAGAAGACTCTTTACCTCGTCATGGAGTACGCCAGCGGAGGTGCGTAGACGTTCCACCAAATGTTGCCCATGCCAACTATTGAATTTTGTTACTTAGCTTTATCGCTTCTCAGCTTTAAAGTCTAATTTGCTAATTAATTCAGGCCGGAAACTTAATTTTCATTAGAGAAATCTCCTTGTCTTAAAAAAAAAGTGAGTCTGCTGTTTTGTTTTTCGCCGTCATCTTTTGTTGTGCTGACTGATACCCTGCTTAAGCTGCTCTTAGTGGTCTACTCCACACAAGGTCAAATTTATGCATACAGCTTTACATTTACAGGGAAAATCAAAGTCCAAAGTCTTAAAGAATAGTGCATTGTTTAACCAGATTATTTGCATCGGGATATAACAAACCTTTGAAGTAAAGCAAGACACACTTTCTCTTTTTTTTCTTTCTAAATTACTCTGTGTGCTTTGTTTTTGGTTGTTTCTGCAGGCGAAGTGTTTGACTACCTCGTGGCTCACGGCAGAATGAAAGAGAAAGAGGCCAGAGCCAAATTCAGACAGGTCAGTTAAACAACAAACAATGTTTTGCATATTGTTTCCCTAGTTTTACCTTTCACAGATAAGAACTGTAATGTGTGCACTTCTCAAAGATAAAAGGCTGACCCAACCTAATCATAGTAGCCTTGTTTTGCAGAAAATTATTTTCTCTAGTATGAAGGTCATACAGATCACTGTCTGTTTGTACTCATATACAATCAAACCAAAATAATTCGTACCCCTGGTTTATGTTGAAGATAGTTCCCCTCATTCAGTTAGTTTTTTTTTTTCTTTTTAGATAATAAACGGGCCTCTGTATAAATATAAAAGAAAATGTAAGAGGAGTTTCAGAAAAAGCATAAATCTGTTTCATTACCTGAAAGTTGTCACATCAGGGCTGATGAAAGCAACACAAGTAATATTAAATGACAAATTAAACACATTTCCTGTTCCTTGTAAAGTGAATATTTCCAATTGATGCTACTGCTAAAACTGAACTCGTTCTCAGGTCTTTGTGAGGGGGTCTTCAGTTTTCCGTCTTCACAACTAACACCTGTCATTTTTTTTTCTTTTTTCTAGCTGATTGAGAGACAGAAAAATCTTTAGACAACCCCAATGCCCAAGCAGGATTTTGGAATTGTTAAAGAAAGCTGTTAAAGAAAAACAAACAAAAAACTTGACAAATGATTTAAATTGTTGATTTTAAATCTCTATTTGCAAAGCAGTGATTGAATTGTTTTATAAAAACTGCAGAGCAGGTTGTTGATTTTTTTTTTTTTTAAGCCTCAGGGTGTAAAATTTACACCCATCTAGTGATGGGCTAAAAGAATTACAAATAAACTAGAAGCGCGGACTGGTGCCTCACTATTAAGCCCATAATTCTACGGAAGGCGCACGGTGTCAAAAATGTGAAAAAGTCAACATCTTGCAGAAGTTGAAGTGTCCTGTCAGGTGGTGAGGCAAAGAACAATACATAACTCTGTTTTTTTTATATTTCTTTTTTTAGTATTATAAAATCACTTGATTTATTCTCTAGTGAATAAATCCCATCAAGAGACTGGTAACTTTGGTGTCTCATGTATTTAACATAACATGACGCCAAAACACGCTTCCCTGTCATTTTGAAACTTCGCACCATGCAATAATGATCTTTATTTTTTTTCTACATTCCAAATGCTTATTCAGAAATATTAATTTGCTAAACGTACCTCATCTTTGTTGAATCGATCAACCTAAAAAATAATCTCGATTAATCGATTGCTAAATAATCAATAGCTGCACACCTACATAAATTTAGGGGGATTTCCATAGTCTTTGATGTTTTATATTCAAAATGTCTTTTTTTTTTTTTTAACAACACATAGAAAATCCTGTATTTTAAATCAGGATCTTATGTTTTGAAAATGCACATTTGTAGCTACCCTGGGATATTTACCTCCAGTCCAAGCTGGAGCTAATTAATGTTTTTCTTTGTTATAGTTTATTCTAATTGAGCATTTATCTTCTCTGGTTTCTCCTAGATTGTTTCTGCTGTGCACTACTGTCACCAGAAGAATATTGTTCACAGAGACTTGAAGGTGTGTTAAATCTTTGCTTGAGTCTTCTTCAGCGTTCTATTTATTCCTGTAAGAGGAAAAATATTTAAACATCTCGTCTTACCCTGCTGTCTCTGTTGTGTCCTTTAGGCGGAGAACCTGCTGCTCGACGCCGACTCCAACATAAAGATCGCAGACTTCGGCTTCAGTAATGAGTTCACTGAAGGAAGCAAGCTGGACACCTTCTGTGGTTCCCCACCGTACGCTGCTCCAGAGCTTTTCCAGGGGAAGAAGTACGACGGTCCAGAGGTGGACATCTGGAGCCTTGGCGTCATCCTGTACACACTGGTCAGCGGGTCGCTGCCGTTTGATGGGCAGAACCTAAAGGTGGGGGTGACATAGCAGCTGTGTTGCGCATAATATCTACATCCTGGTCAAAGCTGTTTTAGTTTTGTTCACAGAAACAATAGTGATGCCAGATGCATCCTCATGTGTTTTCAGGAGCTTCGGGAGCGGGTTTTAAGAGGGAAGTATCGCGTTCCCTTCTACATGTCCACAGATTGCGAGGGAATCCTGCGTCGCTTCCTGGTCCTGAACCCTGCTAAGCGCTGCTCTCTGGAGGTAAGGAGGAAACTTTAATCCAGCCTCAGTAATACAAGAAAAGGATGTGGAAGCAGTTTGTTTCTCTTCTGCACCTTTAAAGGGTTTAATTATGGAGATGTCCAGTGAGATGTTAGAGGGGAAAAAAGGGTTTTCAGGAGGGGATCTTTGTGTAGTTATATATTGGCGAGGTTAGGGAGAAAAGGCAGCTTGTTTCAGGTGAAGCTTTAATATTCAACTAAGATGAAGCCAAAATGTTAAGGCTTGATTTAAATTAATAAGTACACCTCAGCAGAAACAGCAGCTGTTTTCTGTCCGTTTACAGTGTTGCTTTCAGTTATTAAGGCGTGTTTATGGACAGCGCTTTTAAAGCTCCTCCGCAGCATTTATATATGTTCCATGTCTGAACTTTGACTGGCCTTTTGCCAAACATTGTTTTTTGTTGGGGATTTTTATTCTGTTGTGGATCATTCTCCTGCTGATGAAGCAGTTTGGAACAAGATTCAGTTTTTAGCTTTAGTGTTTAGAGGTTTGATCAGTGATAGCAGGTTCCTTTGACTAGCCCAGATCATCACTCCTCCACCACCCTGCTTGACCGTTGGCTTGAGGTCTTGATAGGTTGTGTTTTTAAACATTGTGCTGAGTTTTATGGCCAGACATTAAGATGTAAGCAGAGACCTATAATGTGAAATAAACATTTTTTGTTTTTATCTTTTCTCTGAGCATCGCATGCAGTCTGACCTAGGATTTCCTAGACGGCCATCTTTAGTTTTTCTGACCTTTTTCTCTGCAAACTGTTAAAAAAGTAGAAATAGCTCTTGATAGAAATAGCATCTTGGTTTTATTTTTTGTTAACTCAGACCCACAGGAAACGGCAAATTGACAAACCCTTCAAATCTGCAGATGCACATGGATGCTACTTTTCCTCCCTTAAATCCTGTGTTAACACAAGGGGTCTACTCTTCTATATTAATGCTATGTTTAATTCCAAGTCATCGTGTTTGCAACAATATTTCTTGTTTCTTCATCAGCAAATAATGAAAGATAAGTGGATTAATGTCGGCTATGAAGGCTCTGAGCTGAAGCCCCATGTGGAGCCGGAGGAGGACTTTAATGACAGTAGCCGCATCGGTGAGATTTGTGTTCTTTTTTTATTTACAGTCAATGTATTTAATCTGTAGTTGTAAATTAAGCCATCAGCGTTGTTATCACTGCTTTTAGACGATTAAATGGATTATCTCATAGTGAAAATGGTTAGACCTTTAAAACTTCAAATAGATGGATTAAATGTTTCTGATTTAATGTCCGTAGAAACTCAAATATTTAGCTGAGAAACCAGAAGAGGAGCGTCTGGAAATATGTAAACTGAGTCCATTTGTGTTTTTGCAGATGTGATAGTTGGGATGGGGTTCGAGAGAGATGAGGTCCGGGAGTCGCTGGTGAAGCATAAATACAATGAGATCACTGCCATGTACCTGCTGCTCGGACGCAAGAGCGAGGTGGAGTGCTTCTGTTTTTTTACTCTTCTATTTTGTCTTTAAACAATAAAATTCTTTAAATATAAAGAATGAATGAACATTATTGGTCAAGAGAAAACCCTTTAACTCATTTTCATCATGCCACATATCTGTATCTTTAAATCTTTATTCACTACTTCTAAGGACAAAGTTTGTGTTTTCCTTTAACTAGACCGATTCTAATGGAGTGAAAGAAACTTAAAGAACATTCATGCTTGGTTCTTATCATATTGTCACTCTGTCGTCATTCTGTCTTTTAGAATGAAGGTACTGAGTCTCGGTCGGGCAGCAGTCTGAGTCTAGCTCGCATACGCCCCAGCGCCATCACAAACGGGACAAGCAAACACTCCACGTCCTCCTCTTCCTCCGGTGCTCAGTCTTCCTCCTCCAGCCACAAGCCTCAGCGAAGCGCCTCAACGTACCACCGCCAGAGACGTCACTCTGACTTCTGTAAGGAGAACCTCTTTAACATTGTGGGCTTTGTTTGCAGCTGTTCTCTCGTGTGGAGTTCTTCAAGGCTTTATTCAGGGCACCTTTTTCCTCCTCCCCATACATTGTAACAGTGTTTCCTTCGATACTGCTGACCTGGATCCTTAAAGTTGGTTTCTGACGTAGACTGCTCCCCACCTGGGTCTAAACCTAGACGCTGATCTTGAGTTTGATGCTCAGATTAAATCTGTGGTCAGGCCCAGATTGTTTTTACTCAGACAGCAGAAAAAATTTAAAACATTCCCATTAACGCTTAATTTAGAGATTTTAATCCATGCTTTTATTACAACTCTGTAAGAGTACTGTAGTGATCTTTATTTGATTCTCACTATATCACTTAGTTTTTTAAATGCATATAAATGACCTTGAGATTTTGGTAGAACATTTCAAAGAAAGTGTTCCCTAAGGTCTTGTCTTCCTCCAACAGGTGGTCCAGCTGCTCCTGGGTCGGCCCACCCCAAGAGAAGTCCCAGCGGCGTAGGCGAAGCAGCCGCCCTCAAAGAAGAACGGTTGTCCATACGTAAGCCGAGCAGCACCACCGTGGGCTCCCGCAGCATCCCGACCCCATCCAGTCCCATGGTTAGCTCCGCCCACAACCCGAATAAAGCTGAGATACCCGACAGGCGCAAGGAGGTGAATTCAACAGTGGTAAGTCCTGAATGAGTTGGTGGTTGGGTGGTGTCGTTTAACAGATTTGTGGCGTTTATTCACTCATCAATACAACAGGTACAGATGGTAGAGACCTCTAAATCTGAATAACCCAATGTTCTCAGATTACAGCAGACTGAGGCAACAGTTGAGAATATATCACAGAATAAAACAATATTTTGTACACCAGTTTTTATAAGGAAGAAGAGTGTAACAATGAGTAATTAAAAGAAACGGAGCAGATCTTCAAATTGTGCGCAAACAAAGCTTAAAGATCTGAAGACAATAATCGGATTATCTGTTAAGGTTTTGCACAGCAGGGGGTGCAAACATATAGAGCATCAGGGAGAGGGCAGGACTCTCAAAGATCTCAGATGAAGTCTGATGAGTTTTCTGATCAAATAACTGAATCGCACTCATCCACATCAGCATTAGAAACCAGATCTAATGGAGCATAATAATGTTTGTTTTGAAATACAGAATAACCTCCCTGCCAGTGCCATGACTCGAAGGAACACCTATGTGTGCACAGACCGATCCGGCACAGACCGATCATCGCTACTACAAAATGGCAAAGAAAACAGGTAAGATCCAATTTTTTTTGTTCCGTTTGGATCTTTGGATCTTTCTTCCCACAGAGAAACATAGACAGGAACTGTTGGTTCAATACTTCTATGTCCAGCGGTGCAGTGGGAGGTGCTGTTGTCCCATAGCAGGAATGTCCTGGGTTTGAATCCCATTCTGTTTTTTGTTTTTTTTTTATTGTGTTTTCATGTCCCCCTTTCCATGTTTTTTTTTCTCTGGATACTCCATCTTCCTACCCCATTATTCTGACTATTAGATGAATTGGTGCCTGCTTGGCCCAGTGTGATTCTATGTGTCTTGTGATGAACTGGCCACCTTTTCAGGGTGGAGCCTGCCTCTCTGCTGCTGATAGCCGGAGAAGACCACCAACCCCCTGAATTTGGGGTTCAATTTGGGTACCTGCTCCCTTCTCAGGACTGAAGCGCTCTGTTCTAACCTGTAGGCTAAAAGCTGATTTATACTTAGAAACCAGGTCGTCACCGTGTGTGTCACATTTCCTGCAAATGTGCACCCGCCCCTTCCACAGACACTCTGGTGCAACTCTCCAAAACTGTAGGTGACCACAGGTAGTGCCGCAGACAGGAGGCCTCTAATTGGTTAAATCTACATCTGCTCTACACTATGCGTATTTCCTATTTGGTACCTTACCGGCTTGTTATGTTTGTATGACCGCCATTGTGGAAAACAACTCATGAAGAGGGACGAGCTAGAAGGGCGAGGTGTGCGAGAACGCTGGGACCTTTTTTCCACCTGGATCCCCGCTCTTTTTCGCCCTCATGTTGTCGCACAAATTTGCTCCCACTTCCTCACCGCCTTGGCCGTATCTAGACCCACGGTAAGTTCATGATTGGCTCTCTTGCTTTGTGACGTGGAATAACATAGCACAGACCATGCTTCATTATTTGGCATAAACCAAAGATATCTGCGACAAGCTCACTGTGACACACTGCTGCGGGAGGATAACCAGCCCTTCACACTAATCCGTACTATAGCTGGTTGGTGTGTTCAAGGACCAATCCTCTAGCTCTTAATTTATCCCCCTTCACTGTTTCATTCAAAGTTCTCAGGTTACCACATCACAGCTGGCCCACATCATAATGCTGCCGCTGCCATGCGTGACTGTCACTCAACTGTTTTTATGTTTATATTTCCTTGGCTCTGAAAAGCACTCCTCTTTGCCTAAACTATATCGAGCTGTTCTCATCAAGGTTTGAATCCTGCTACTGTCACACAGATGTTGCAGCAGAATCCAGTTCCTGCAGGCTTGATAGTTAGCGGTTACCCTCACAGATTTCTTATAGAGATGCACCGATCCGATACCTGAATCAAAATCGGCTCCGATATTGACTAATTAGTTTGAACAGATATTGATTTGATCCAATCCAGTCGCTTAACATGAAATTGTTATCTTTCTTTTTTGGTGCCTTTATGTTAACAAATAATATACAGTGCATTTATGTTAGAAATAAAAGGACAATTAAATTAAATGAAAGGATAAACATAAAATCAGCTCATAATTTGGAAATGTCACTAGATGTTGTTTTAGTTTTTGGATCCAAAACCTTCCTCTTTGTTTAGACCTCCTAAACAATCGATCTGACCTTCTGCTGTTTGTCACATTGACTCATGAAGCGAGTGTCTATCTGCTGAGGGAGTGTTTGTCTAACCCAGATTTTAAGGAGAAACAGCTTCAACTGTTCATGTGAGTTTTTGATGTTTGTCCATCATTTTTTCAAAGCATAAAGGACATCATTCTCATCGGTTTTCATCTCACTGAGTTTTCTGATTTTCCGTTTTTTTTTTGTCCATAAAAGCTCAACCCTCCCCCCCTCTGTCTGTTTATCAAACATTTTGTCAAGGGGCCCTTTAAACAAATAAGAGACAGTGGTATTGATATTGGAACATTATGCTGAGTCACTGTCCTTCTGAAGATTGTTTCTTTTGGGGTTTTTTTCCCTCCACAAACAGTGAGACACCACACGCTGTTTGATTCAGGTATTACACAGGGGCAGCCTTTTGTCTTGGTTTTATGATTCATCAGGTGTTCTTGGAGGAAGAAAAAGGTGTAGGAAGAGCGGAAATTTTAGGGGGAAGGAGAGGAGATAGACAGGAGAGAGCAGTCGGACAAAGCTGGGGGGGTGGTGTCCTAACGTGACCCTCCTGGTTTCCTAGACCTCGTCAATATGATGCTGTTCCACATGGCTCGATGGGACCATCACGTGTCCTGCTCACTAACACACGCTCCGTAGCACATTTAAACTGTAGGTAACTGAGGGTACGTTCAGAGCAAGTCAACCTAACTGTCCCTGACTGTGACTCGTCTAATTGAGTCACATCCTAAACCGTCCCACCGTGGAACATTCAGGCTAAAATGCTTGAAATGTACAGGTTCACACATCCCTAAAAAAAACAAATCTATAAAAAATGTCACAAAACTAAAACTATCTGTGTTAAATGCAAGAAATGAAATAAAATACAATGTGCAGTAAAGAAAAAAAGATACACTATAAAGAAGAAATACTTTGTTTAACAAATCTGCATAGATTAAATTAAATTCAGTTTGGGGGATGACTGAAAAAGAAAGAACAAATGACCATGGTTATTTTTCTGTGAAGAACCATTCACAGAAAAAATACACACAGCATGGATGTAAACACAAACCAAGTTTTTTTGGTAGCTGTGATGCTTAGAAATTCTAACAGCTGCTGGGAGAAAGGATCTGCGATAACCATCCTTTATTGAATTAGGACACATAAAGCCGGGCTTACACTGTACGATTTTTTTGCCCCTTTCGGCCTTACTTTCCAGTCATGCAAGTTTTTTTTAAATCGGGCCGACTTTCAGCTTGATCGTGCATTGTGTAGTGTGCAGCGCGGGTAACGAGGGGCGATCAGCCTCTCACGACCAGCTCCCGATCAGGAATCGTGAGGTCGGGAGAAAATCAAACATGTTGTGAGCAAATTACTCAGTGCGCAAACAAGTATTTCTTCTTCTTCTTCCTCTCAGATGAGCACACAAAAGCATGGTGGGGGTGCGAGTGAAACGGAGTTCTTTCTGTAAAATTGAAAGACCATAGTAGCCCACGTTTGCTCAGCCATGTCTATGAATTTTTACACTGCGATTAATATGCGCTTAAATATTAAACTGAAGGAGAGCTTCATTTCAATAACAGCTTTTTAAACGGGGTGTGAGACTACAGTCCATCCGTCTCCTAGAACCTGTGCTGTGTTCAGTGGGCAGCTGCCCCTCCTAAGATGGAGTATGCATGTAAAAGAACAGCAGATGTTATAAAGAGCCGTGATCACTGAGATGAGCTTGAGCTGAGATGACCAGGTTAAGTTGCGTTCGTCTCTGCAGGTATGGCCTTGGTCTTGATGGCGCCCACTGGTGGGACTGGGCTCATCATTAGTCTGTCTGCCTGGGTTTTATGATCTGCTTTAATTGGTGTGGATGAACTAAATCAGCAGGGACACCTTTACAACGTTTAGTGTGAGCTTCCTGAAGGAATTTATCCGTCTACGTGGTTTTTAAAACAACTCGACTTTAAATAATCTCTGCGGACTTTCATTTCTAAAACATTTACAAACCAGTTCAATGTGTCTCTTAATTGCTTAGAAATCCATGCAGAATTCTTGCATACTTCGCAGTTTTTGTCTTAGCGCTACAGAATTCATTCCAAAAAAGTAAAAAAAAAAAAACATCCACTGTACTTTGTTTCCGATTTTTAATTGATCGCATCCAAAACAAGTGCAAAAATAAGGGAGGCTCTTGGCCTGAGATGCCCCAGGAAGGGATTCTAATAATATGTTTTGTTTCATGCCATTGCTTTCAGTGAAGAGGTGATGAAGAAAGCAAATTGTACAAATAAAGCTTAAAATCCTTTATTAGAAACGTACAATTTATTGGAATGACTATGACCTGGATGACTGAGAATATTCACCAGCACAGTGGTACAGAATACAACAGCACACAACTGAAGGGCAGATGTGCATAAAAAGAGAGAAAAAACATCTAACCCTGATTCAGCATTGTTTAATGTTAGCAGATAAAGTAAAACTCCTCATGTCATTCTGAATTTAGATCTACTGCAGCTTTAGAAGTTAACACTGTTGTCTGACTCGCCTCCTTTTGAACCGGCTCTCCTGTCTGTTTCTCTGTGTGAAGCCGAGTCAATCGCTTTTATTTTCCTCTCACTGTCGGTCATCACCAGCCGGCCCGTTTGCATCGACGTTAAACGATTTTGCTCTGCAGCGGCTGCTTATTCTTACCTCAGCTAATGGGTCTGCCCCACTTGAACTCTGTGTGGGTGTTATCTAGAGCGTTATGAAAAGCAGCCTGAGGCCACACTGGATGGCAGGGTATGTGTGTTATAAAGTGTTGACTGACAGGAAGGAAATTAGATGTGAGGCAAACGAGGGGGAAGATGGGGGGGTCTTCAGAGACCTTAAACACAAGAAATTGAAGAGAATGTTGGACCAAAGGTTGTTTTTTGTTGTTGTTTTTTTTACATATTATTCTTCTGACCCAGATTCCATATGGTCACACGATGTAATTCTACATTTGTATTGAGAAAGATAAATTGATTTATATCCCCATGTTTAGATAGTTTGCAATTACTTGATATAAAACCAAATATTTTCTATAAGCACTGGTCTTGGATTCACCTGTTAAATTTCTCCTCCCTTGTGTTTCCTCCAGTACCTTATCCCACCGCCTGCCCCCAGCCTCGCCCTCCTCCCACAGCATCGCCGGCGCCTCTGGGGTCTCGTCATCCACTCCCTCATCCCGTCTCTCCAGGGGATCCACGGTGAGGAGCACGTTTCACGGAGGTCAGATCAGAGACCGTCGTCCTCCATCTCACGCCCCGCCGGCTTCGCCTACGCCATCTCACGATGCCAGCCCGCTGCCCCACGTCAGGAGCCGGGCGCCTTCCAACCTGCTCAGCAAAATCACCTCCAAGCTGACCCGCAAGTAAGAGGAGATCCTGAACAGTTAATTGAGTAGGAGCGTAGCTTTTACGGACATTGGTATGAAACTGGAAGGAAACGTCCGATATCTGGTTGCGAAACCCCTTTGGGTTGTTCCTGTTTAACGGTTGAGCTTGTTTATTATTCCTGCTGTGATCTCAGTTTCCCATTGTTTATTAATTGAATGTAATGCTTTAGTATTATAATCTTTAACATAAAAGTCATAGAGCTAACTTGCTGCCTGTTACAGTCCTTTCCTTAACCAATACTAACCTACTAGCCTTCCTATAAACAAGGAGGAAACGCAGTCATTAAATCTTGTCCTCATTAATGCAAGACCTGGGTCTAAGGAATGTTTATACTTGCTTGTATGTACCCTGCTGATTAGATTGATTCTATCTTTAACTTTAAAAGAAAATAGTAAAAAAAGATCTTACGCTGTTTTTTGGGGGTGTTGGTGTCATAACTTACAAGCTACTGTTATATGAAACCCTTCAGGCGATTAAATGATGCATTGAAAAACAGCAAACTCCACACTTATAAGCATTCTCTGTAAAACATGGCCTTTAATTTAACCCAATGAATGATTTGAAAAGACCTAAATTGTATCAAATAGATCTAACTAATTTTTCTTTTTAAGTTTATTGAAAGGGAAATTACTCGTTTTTACACAAAATGAATATGAAGAGGCCCCAGTTTCCTGAAAATGGGAAACATAAGAGAAAACTGCACATAAACCAACAAGCTTTAATCTGTATATTTTATCCTTTTTATGAGGCAGGAAGTGTCCTACATCTTAGTTTCATGAAGTCCCAATTAAATCATATTATTACTACTGTTATTTATCAGGAACTGCAGGATTTAAACAGCATTTTAGTGTGCATCTCATGCCCACTTTCAACTATAGTGGAGGATCTGAGGTCTGTTTTCCTCCAAAAACCTTGTGAATTATGAGCGCCTGATTTGTGAAACACCAGCAGATTTTTAATTGGATTATAGTTGCCTCTGCAAGGAAATCTCTGGTCATAAACTTAGGCTTTTCCCCAGACCTACAGAAAGCCTGTGCAGCGGGCTGAAGAGAAGAAAGGACAGGAGAGGAGTCAGGATCCTCTGTTTAGATGCTTTGAGAGGAATAACCAAAGATCTGTCTCCCTTTATGTCCAAACAAATGTTGAAGGCTCATTCAATAACAATGGTGACTAATCCGTTGTTTGTTTTAATCCGTTATGGTATACTGTACAAATATATTCACCACTGAGTAAATATGCTCAAATTAAAAGGTGGATTCTTCCAAAACGTTCATTTTGAGCGTATGTTGCTGTAAGAGTGGAGGTGCTGCTAGTGTCACTCAATGGCCTGAACGGCAGTAAAATAAAAGTGAACGCGTTTCAGTTATGACACCCATTACTGACCTTGTTTATGACATATAAGATAAAATTCCATAATCATAGACCGTAACATGGATCAATTGGATAAAGTATTTTGTTTTTTTTGTTTTTTTAGCAGCATTGAACCAAAGCTAGAAAGTGACCCAGGTCTGCAGCTCAGATTGACTTACTGAATGTTTCTTATGGTCTGTTGTTCTTGGCTGCTTACTGTTGCTTTATCTGTTTGATTTTTATTTTATTTTTTTACAACTTTGGCCTCTTCTTACCAATCACACCTGCCAGTTTTCTGCCCTCTCTTTGCATTCTGTTTAAATTGTATTCTTCTATATTTGCTTCCCACTCTCTGTCATTCTGTTGTCCCTCTCACTTTGCTTTCTTTCTCCCTCTTTCTGCCTCTAATCCCTTCCTTTTTCTTTTCCATTCCTCTCATCTCCTCTTCACTGCCTTCTTTTCTTCCTCTTGCCTCGCAGGGTCACTCTTGACCCTTCTAAACGTCCGAGCTCAAACAAGTCCGTGTCGGGCTGCACCCTCCCACAGGGAACAAAAACAGTTAGTAAGTCTTCCTTTCCCATGTTTTCTGGCTGCATCTTGTCTGTCTGCTTGCCCACCCCACCAGTGCTTCTGTGGTCCCGCCTCCTCCCTCCATGTGCTGTCCGTTGCAGCTCGGGGTTCAGTCGTGCAAACTTTGTCCTGAGGTAAAGCTGCTTTACATGTAGGAAGCGTAATCTCTGGTTTAGCTCAGTTATAGCTGGAGGGTTCTGATGTAAATAGAAGCATTTCAGTCACCACATTAATAACCTTAGTGTTCAAAAATTATTTTTGAATTGATAGTTATTCTAAAATAGTTTTGGTTTTTATGTTTCACTTCCAGGGAAAGGGGGGCATTACTTAAGACTGAGTGCTTTTTCACTTCTGTGTTCCCCAATTGTATCTTTTGTTCTCCATTTTTGTTTTTGTTAGAGGAAGGGTACTGGTCATTTTACCCCTAGGATTTGTTCTGGGATATGTAGAGAAAGCAAGATGATAGGTGGAAACGCACAGGGAATGGCTAAACGGGCTGCAAACACATGAATGATGCAAACTCCAACGAGTGCTAGCAGAAAAAAGATAAATAAATAAAAATATATTAAAAAAAAACTGCAATCACAGAAATAAGCAAAAGGTAAGAAGGGCTGCAAATACTGAAGAAAAAAAAAACTGGGAGATGACAATAAGGTTAGGACCAGACCCTCAGGGAAGGGGCAACCGTCACTTCTTAGAACTTAGACATGCACTAAAATACTATTAGTAGCTTATGTATTTGACATACATTGTCATGCATCCACCATGATGGTTAAAACTTGGCGTTTGGACATTATTTAATACCAGAGGATCATATTCTCTCCAGTAAAAGACCAATTTAGCTCAATATGGTGTCATGATAAAGACTTTTTATACAAGCCTTGACTAGGATGTCAGCAGACATGTCAGATTTAGGAGTTTCTAATGTTTAATATTGTGAATTAGGACATTTGTGTGAATTATTGTTTTCTCAATAGTCCACAGTAATATTTCTGTTTCCTGTCTTACTAACTTGCAGACCCAGTTCTTAACTTTCAGGTAGAGTGAGTGAAAACGTAGTCTCCAAACCCTGGAGAAGGGCTGACCACGCCCACTTCAAAGGACTGAGATAACTTCATATAAAAATATAAAGAAATAAACGCTTACACAATGTTATTTTTATATTAAACTAAGTTGTCTAAAATGATTATAGGGGGCATAATTTGAAACCAATTTATAATGATGTATAATTGCTGCCGTTCCTCTTTCTCGAGTATTCTTCAGTTTTAACTTTCTCCCACTTTAGGTTAATTTAGTTATAATAACCGGGTAATACCTTTCGGTATTTTAATGCAGCATTATTGAGACGCATTTTTTAGTATATGATCCACATTTATTATCTGTGGAACTCTAGTAAATCCAGACTAAACCTCTTCTGCTTCTGGATGCAGTTATATAACCAAACCTATTTCTTTTTCTTGCTTACCCTCATTATTTGGTATGTTTCCTAATCTGACTTGAAAGCACATATTATCTTTTGTGATGCACAATATTCAAGTCCTTTAAGCTGCCTTCAGGCTAAGCCCTGACCTTTAAGTCTAATTTTTGTTCAGTCAGGGAAGGAAACTTGATGTTAAACTTATTTGACTTCAACTGATCCTTCCTGTAGAACAGCTTCACCTCCAAGCTGCCAGTTTGCAGCTCTCTACCTGTCTGTGTGCATCTGCGTCTGTCTGCGTCTCTGCTGGCTCGGCTTCATGCTTCCCATCTCACTGAAAGGCTGCTAGTGCTGCAGCGCCACCACCAGCTTACAACAGTGAATACACCTTCAAAGTGTTTGTTGTTGAACATGTTTGATTTTCCTGCTGACTGAACGGTGGATTGAAGCATTAAGCTAGAACAACTATCAGCAGAAAGAAACTTGGTTTGTATAGCAAACACTCATGTGAAGATGGTCTGTGTTTTGTGAATAACAATTAAACTGTTCTAGTTTGAGTCACATAAATAGCATCACATGTTTAAAGATGATCAGAGAGCCCAAAGGGACCAGTAGAGACTTGAAAGAAGGGGATGCATTCATGCTTTTTGAAGAGAAAAACTGATAGTGTTTGCTTCAACCCTTTTAGCTTTAATAGACAGATTTTTTTTCCCACGTCTTCCTGATAATGACCCATCAAATGTAATCAATCTAGAAAAAGCTTTTCCATTTTAACCAGACAACAGAACATTTCTGTAAGTGTGGCTTTATTGTGAATGAATCATCCAGAGGCTTCAGAGTCTTGGACAGAACCAGGTCAGGATGTTTAATTATCGGAGTGGAAGTATGCCGGGTGGTCCGCGTGAACCGCTGTCACTTAGGCACCGTTTGCCCAACAATGATCCAATGAAAGTGGGGTTTATTTGCCATTTCTGTTAACACATCTATATCATGTTTTAATTAAAATCTGTATGCATATGACAACAGTAGGAAGATGAAAAGGGTGTAATTTCCCCTGCCAACCACTAGTTGGTGGTATGTTCTTAAAACCGTCCTGGTTTCATAATGATGGAGACCAGAGCGTTTTCCTACTATTACTCTCTGGAACGTGATCTTAAAATGATCCATTCTCAGAGAAAAGATGCACTGATTAATAAAGGAACAGTAGGAAGGAAACAAAACATCCATTTTCAATAAAAAAAAAAAAAAACAATGTAAAGAGGCCTTAGTTGTGGTAGACTCCATTTTTCCTCAGAAGTCTAACTTTCCTTTTTTTATTATATTTTTTTTAATTAGAAGTTGGAAAGTTGGTTCATAAGCACTGCTAAATTTTCACATAAGATAGGTGCTACTCGCATCAACAGCAGTTAGCAGTACTTTTTAACTCTGACGTTAGCAGTTCTTTATGATGTATGTAGCAAACAGGTACTGCTTGTTAGAGTCAAGATGATATCTTTCAGGCTTGTTTTATGTGCTCAGAATACTGTGCAGGCCAGCATTTTAGAATACAAAGGGTCCACGAGTGGGAAACTGGGATCAATTTAGCTCGGAGATTACGTCACCTTAACTTTATAGTTTTGAATTCCAAAAATGATGGAATGCACAACTGGCTGTAATATCTTCCAGGAACTAAAAAAAGCACTTTGAGAGCATAGACCTCTGCCAAGCAGTAAATGATTTACACCCACAGCTAAAATTTGCACGTGATATGGATCGTTATAAAATTTTAATGAATTGCTTCTTGCCCTTGAGGCGTGACTCTGGTAAAAGGCACGGCATGATCAGCGCTGCTGCCACCCTCTGGTTTAGGGAGGAACTTCTTGTTCTGCCAAATGTTAAAGAATCCTTTAAAAAATTCCTGTAAAAATAGAGTACTATATTACGACGGAGTATTAGGACCAAGCTAAATATTTTTTTTATTTCTTCTATTTGGAGAATAAAGTGGTAACATTACGAGAATAAAGTCGTAAAATTATGTTAAAGTCACAACGAGAATAGTCATAAAATTATGAGAATAAAGTCTTAATATTAAGAGATTAAAGTCCTAAAATTACTAGAAGCAAGTTTTGGAACAATGTTGTATAAATAAGGAAATCTTTTGGCACACCAGCATCGAATTGAGCAGGATGTCAAAGTGAATTCAGGCTGCTGTTTGGTGGTGATGGTCAGCCGTCATATGCAGGTCGGAGCTCTGAAATTGGTTGTTGTATGACTTCATTCTCATAAATATTAGAACTTTATTCTCCTAATGTTGCGACTTTATTCTTGTAATATTACAAATCTTTTCTCGTAATTTTACAAATGTATTCTCAAAAAATTTTTAAATAAAAATAATTACCAGCCCACATTTCTAATAACAGTTAACCCGGGGATTCAGATAGAGAAGAAGCAAATTATGCAGTTTTTTTCGGCTTACGTCTGGAACATGAATAGTTTAGGAGTGACATGATCCCCAAAAATGATAGTTTCAGTCTCTGCTGCAAAGAAAGAGCATTCTGTTAGAATAACAGCATCATTGCTCTCCTCGTATTGCATAAAGGCTGCACTGCGCTCTCTATGACCTCTACAGCCTGTCCAAATCTGGCTGGATCGATTGTGATCTGTGGGCAGCCATAGTGGTACCACCCGCCTGGGATCTGCC